GCAGAATGAGCAATTGTGGGGCTTGGCCATAATGGGGAACAACTTTTTAGAGTGATCTAGGTTTTTTGTATGCCTTCTCAGAAATTGAAAACAATATGTGTCCCTAAATTGTTATCGTTGATAGTAGTAGTTGCAGGGTCCAATCACTCTATGTCTACAGAGCAACAGAGACGCATCATACCCTTCATTAATTAATAATTATTGATTTATCACCGGCCTTTGAAATTGAGTGTGCTGTTGACCTTGCCCCTGGGAATCTAACTGGTGTGCCCAAGTTTTTTTTGGGTCAAAGTTTGGAATGGAGAGGGATGTGTCATTGGAGTTCAAACACGAGATTACTAATCTACAGAAAAATACTCTTACCAATTAGCGAGGTACCTGTGGGCGGTGTGGCCTATAGTGCCGTCCTATTGAACATAGCAACCTATATTCTGGGTTGCTGCCGCTGCCATGTTGTTGAGTCAGAATCCCATGAAAGGCAAAATAAAATCCTTTCTTATTTTTGTTCAGAAGCAAATTGGGATGTAGACAAAATCAGTTTGTAATACAGTTAGGGCTAATCCATTTGTAGTGGTGTGTGCTGGTCACTTGGACAAAAGAAACTCAACAAAGCAATAGATTGCTATCATTTTTTATGTTGGTGGGTTGTTTCTTCTTTTATCTGGTGATTATTATTGTTGTCTTTAAGACTATGGAAAAGGAGAAGAAAGCAGTCAAAAATTTACAAGCAGATGGACAATTGGAATATGTTAATGTGCATGCAAGTTCTGCAATTGTTTGTTATTAGTAAAAGTCAAAGGAGTTAGTTGTTCTGGAAGGAGGGAGAGGGAATTAATTTTCAAACACTTAATCATGGAAATAATGATTATTGCACTTCTTTCAACAAATGACAACTACTAATTAGGTGTTTTGGGTTATTAAGTAGGGTGATTAGGAGGACAATTAGGTCAGCAAACCCCTTTTGTTTTGTTTTTTCTTAATTAACTTTCTTCTCGTCCACACAGTCAATGCCATAATTCAAAAGCCAGAGAGGTGCTTTAGTTAATTTGACTTTAATCACTTAACTCAATTGTCATATCCAATGCTAATCAAGGACATGCAACCTCTTTAAACTTTTCTTTGTGGCACACAAAACTAACCCCAGATGGTGAAATCATTAGCATAGTTGTTATATGATTGTTTATAACTTTGTTCTCATACAATTTTGTTGTGAAATAATACCCTATTTTTCTTCAAAAAAATTATCCACCTACACTCCTAACAAGCCAAGCTAGGCCGATGGTCAAAGTGGGTCCATTGTTTCATGACTAGGTTCTCACCAAGAGGAATGATTTTCTCTAGCATGACTAGGACAAATGGACCCATAAAATGTCCCTCAAAGGGAGGTTAAGATGTCTTAGAGGAATATGGGATTCTGACTAAGTCCTTTGGGACCCGACTTTTGCTTCCCTTTCATTGATTTTGTCCCCCTTTTTGAACTTAATTTATGTTTCGTCTCATGAATTTGTCCACCAAACTCTCAAGTATGAAGACACCCTACCTTTGTCATGGCCACCATGACCAATTGTGTCATCTACCAATACATAAAGAAAACTGCAAGAGACGTGACCTGAAGCCTATCTCAAAACCCACTTTGTGCCATTCTAATTTACAATCAGTGAAAAGAATATAAGAGACATAAGTTATTAGTTCTTTATGCATACAAGCGATATTGGGGAGAAAGAGAATCGAATCTACGATCTCGAGTGCATAGGTAAATATTTTTAACCACTTGAACTACAAGTTCTTTTTATTAACTTTCTTTAAATTTATGATTCAAATGTAGCACAATTTTGTTTAAGTAATTTGATGCAGGTTGGATGGGAGTCAAATATTTTGGCTTTGAAAGTGCATTGAATTATTGTTGTTATTCTATTTGTCTTAAATCACTTTTATTTATGTTTAGGTGCAAATGTCATGCAAAAGCACGTATGCTTTCCAAATCGACAACATGGGTTTTAACTTTTGACATGTTGTAAACTTTAGACATGGTTTGGGTACAAATTCTTGTTAGCTTTCCGGCTGCACTTTGGTTTTGGATAAATTAGGTTTTGTACGGAATTTAATCAGTCCAAGTCAAAAATCTTCATGTTATTTTCAAAAGTAATTCACATTTTTAATTCATCGTGCCTTAGCTCAGATAAAATTCATTGAAAAATAAAGTGGTTTTTTTTTTTCCTTTTGTCAAAGTTTGAAAGGGGTGGATGTGAGAAGTGTTATTGGAATTCGAACCTAAGATATATCTTCAGACAAATGTTTTGACTACTGAACCATTGGGTAATGGACCCGTTAGCGAAAATAAAGTGGTTGTTAGCATTACACAAGTTTTTGGGGATTTGTAAAATGGAAGTTATTTTTCAAGGCCCAGATGCTATAGTTGGGTCACACACAAAAAAAAGTTAGGCCCAATCCTAGCTCAGTCTATAACCCTCTTTTTTATATAAGTTGGTCTCACCTTCAAAGTCATGCTAAAATGGTCTTGAAAATGTAACAAAATAATAAAATTTCCTATCACCTTCTAATGTATATAACCAAATAATAAAACAATTACATTAAGCCACCTCTGAATCTGATTGTATCCTAAGAGAGAGAGAGAGAGAGAGAGAGAGAGAGAGAGTATATATAAAATTTACAGCAGAGCTCATTAATTCACACCTATTTTATACCCAAGTTGTTTGAGTTTCACCTTTCATTCCTCATCAACAGAAAAATCAGGTTCTGCTGGCTTCTGCAATGAGCTTACAACCCCAGAATCTGACCCAGAATGCTTATTGGCACCTCTCCTAGTGCTTGCGGCCAGCCTTGCGGCATAAGTAACCAAGCTGGACACAGGTGGAGGTTTTGCAGGCTCAGCGGCTGTGTAGTTTTCTTTAGCCTTGAGTTCAGCTGCTTCCCTTCGTTTCTTACAGCGGCGCCATGCTGCCTGTATGAAACATGCAGCCCATAATCTCCATTGGTGTGAATAGAACCGGAACTTGTGTCTAAGTTGCTTGCTGTGAAGTCTTCTGAATTGGGATGCTACAAATTTCAAGTCCTCGGCTACTAGAGCAAATGCTTCTACTTCAGAAATGGATTTGACAGTGCGCGTTGAAGATGGCAGGATGACACTTGGACGAGGGTCCAAGGCCCATGTCAGCAGTTCCTCCCCGCAGAAGTCACCCGGGCCAATATGGCATGAGTTGAAGAATCCAGTGCGGCCACCATTCGTGGTGTACGAATCAAGGTGGCCTCGAATTATGAAGAGCATTTCATTGACAGGGTCTCCTTCACGCACTAGATATGTGCCTTCGGTACACAGGGCTGGTTTAAGCCTCTCACATATTGCATCTAGCATCCTTTCATCCATTTGATCAAACAGAGGAACCTGTTCATTTAGTGACAGAAACAATGCACCAATTTAATAATAAGCATACCTTGCAGCAAGTTTGGAACATCAGAAGTAGTATCAAAGTTATCTAATTGCAGTCAGATTATTAAGTCATCCTCTTTATCCTTTACTAATATCCCCTGGACTGGTTACTGAACCAACCAAAAGAATTAACTATTGAAACTACCGTTTACAATACAATTTATGATAACTTACCCGACGAACAAGGTCAAGGCAAAGGTGACGCTTGATGTCTCTTCGAAGATCCATAGGTAGGCCTTTAAGAAGAGTTTCCTCATCAACTCCTCTAGTAGCCAACCATTTATATTGATCATACTTCCGCACAGAGATTCTCAATTCCGGTGGCAACTGCCTATGACGCATCCATTCTTCTGTATCAGTTCTCTTAATCCTCCACTCTTCTAGTCTGACAGTTGTCGACTGCAAGTATGTCTGCCATTGTAATGTGTGATCAGAATTTAGAATTATATACTTTGGAACAATTCCAACAGCACAATTGAGTTGTGTAGTAACAAACATGAGTTGGGTTTTCACTGCATAATTCTTCTGGATCTATGTTTTGGAAAGCAAAAATAATAATACAATAGTTGCAGGTAGAACTAGGATGATTGGTTGGCGTGCGAAACACAAAACAGGCCCCCACTTAGCTTGAACCTCATAAACTATGGCTTGAGGCAGAGCCTAGCTAAAACACATTTCCATATGGGAAATTTGTTCTTCAGGCTATCTAGTTGCTCATATTATAGATGCATGTAAAAGCCAATTTAAAGCATTGAGATGCTACTGATGGAGGACTTACTTGCATATTTCCAATCAGCAATGCGAAGAGAACCAGCCCAAGAGTCGCAATAATTATGGCAAACATTATTTCTCCAACGTAAGTGCTTGTTGAAAGATTTTGTCCTAAGGAACTGCAGACAGTATTCAGGGAATGAGTATGGCAGAGGAATCTTCAATGGAAACGAGATAGATCAAAAGCTTTTTCTTTTCCTTCTCACAGAAAACATCAAATTAAATTACTTTTCATGCGCTAAACATTGTTAGCCCAAAAAGTAAAAAATACAGAAGAAAAAAAAGAGGAGAAGATTTCAAAAACGTTACAGAAGTAGTTCAAAATTCTACAAAGAAGAGAAGGCGGTAATCTTAAATTCTCATTCACAATGTGTAAATGCACATCATAAATGGATATTTGAAGAAACTAATTAGCTTACCTGAGATTTCGTAGACCCCACCAGAGGCAGTAAAAGTATCTGTTGAAGAACGATGAGGTTGTAACATCGTATGTTACAGCATCGCCATACATACCAAACTGATAAGAGCTTTTATCTGGATTACATAGATTTGTGACATTACTTGACTGGAACCAGGAATTCCTTTTAGGGTCTCGACTCCGGTGACAATCAAAGTAATCATATTCGCAAAACGTCTCCTCAAGATCACACACACTTCTCCAGCATGCTTCTTGCCGCTCAATTGAAAGAAGGTACCAGCAAGCTCCTAAAACCTTTTCACAAGAAAAAATAAAAACTGAGCAAGGGGTTTACATTTGGTCTTACACACTTGATTGTTAAAAGGATACAAAAGATGTGAAAAAATAAGCCAGCAAATGTATATCAGATAGTTAGAAGATGAACAGAACAGTTAATAGGAACTGAGGAATTTTGATTTTGGTCATTATATGTCATGACAAATCATTGCTTCTTAAGGTTATATTAACAAACTAAAACATTGATTGAAAAGACGGGTGCTCTTAGGAAGGAAATGAATCTTCAAAGGAAGTTTTGCAGGTTTCAACTAAATAAATCTTAGACCGACAAAAGACTAAAATTCGTAGATTAATAAGAGTCAAAACTTGTCTTTTGTTAGGTTCAGTCCATGCATTAGCTTCTAGCCCATTCTTAATCCAGCAAAGATTCACAGTCAATTACCCAACTTGGATGGATAGTCAATTTGCTATTAGTTATTGCCATGCATTCACCAAGAAAAAAAAAAAGTATACACAATATGCCACAAAGTGTTATTCATGATCAAGCTGTAGCTGCACAATTATCCATCTCATTCAAAGTTTCCAAAAGAAAAAGAAACAACAGTTTGCTTGTACTTACATGACTTGCCAACATGTATAGCATCAGATTGTATGCAGCCCCTGCCCATGCTGTCTCTGTCACAACACCAGTGGCCTTGACTATTTGTGATGAGAGTGGAAATATAAGAAAGAGCCTTGGTATGTACTGAAAGATTATGATGAACCGAAGGACGTTTTTTGTGTTTGTCATTGTTGAACCCCCAAGTCTGGGGATTACGATCCAAATCAACACCTGAAAGGAAGAGGAAATGTAAGAACTAAGATTAGTGAATATTAGCTTTATCTCAATAGGCCCAGAGCAAGAAGATTCAAGTAGCATACCTGAGGAAGGGGCAGGGCAGCAATGAGGTCTATCCAGAAATCCAAGCGTAGGTACCTCAGTGAGATCTTTGAAGGTTCTATTACAAGCTCTCCTCTCCCAAATACACGAGACGAAGGTGCAATATAAGCTTTACGAAATCTAATAAAAATTTGAATTATGTAAAATACATCAGCCACTGATCGAACAATTGTAAGAATGACTTCAAGTGGTTTTCCAATATTAATGCACAATTCATCTCTGACCGCTGGCAAGTAAAAGAATAGAGGGTCCACAAACAAAGAAACTAAACAAGTTACTAAGAAAATCTTGTTCCATCGTCGAATAGTATGTCCTCGAGGATCTAATATCTTCTTCTGCACTCTCTCATAGTCCTCAGAAAAGACTCTGGACAGTACTTTAGCTTTTAAGGACTTTCCAGTCTTCCCAGGCACCTCCTTCTCACAAGACTCTGGTACTTGTGAACCATCAATCTTGTACTTAAACTTAACAACACCACCTCCATTGGTTGTAGGTAGCTTTGCTAATTCAACATCATCCGGGAATCTGAAATATACCATATGTGAATGCAAAATTTAGATTCACCTTATCATATCAAGCTCTATGATTAGACAACAAACTCTTAACATAAAATACGGTTCGATATATTGAAATATAAACTATGACAGCAGAAATATTGTTTGAAATCAGAACAGAACTTAGAAAGGAGATATACCTTACAGATCTTGAATTATGATAACCCATGGCAATCTTCTAAAAGCAACCACTTTGTCTTCAGTTAACAGAACTGGTCTGTAGTAAAATAACACCGAATAATCGAACTTATATTAGGCCATGAATCAACTGTATGTAAACATCAAGGCTCTTCAAAATATAACTGACAATGACCCGGGATGAGTTCAAAGCCACAAGAGCTGGGAAGATCTTGCAGCCATGGTTTCATTCACCAGGATTCATGTGAACATGTGAAATAAAGATGACAGCAACTTGGGGATGAAGCTGTAAAGTCTCTGCCCCTTCTAAGGCCAGTGCAAGTCAAACATGTGACCTGAACTGCATTCAGATTTTGAGCATGCAGCTTCAGGAAAAGGAAAAAAAAACTTTTATTTTATTACATAATTAAAATTAAATAAAGAAAGAAAGAAATTCTAAAAATCCCTATATATATTTTCTTTGAACGAATTGAATGTGTCAAAACTTTATGGCGCGTAGAATCTGAAAATCGTGACTCTTTCTCCCTTATCATGGATGGAACAATTGACCAAATGAAATTGGGTCTAGGCAAAGCATAAATAGAAGAATTGAACAAAAAGAATTAAAATAAACATTACAGTTGAAAACTGAATGCCATATCAATTTTAAAATGAAGATTGAATAAATAAATGTAACAGATTCAGCATTCTGTCTCATGGGTTTTGTTTAAGCACAAGCAAGAGATTCCAACAATGAAAAAATAAAACAGCAGAGAGAGAAACTCACAAGCATTTCTCAGCCAAGCTTCACCAAACTCTGGACTCACTCTCTCTGGTTGCTCACTGATTTAAGCTCAAATCCCAAAGACTAAAACTGAAAAAGAAGAGTAAAAAAATTTGTGGGCTAATGAAATAATAAGAAATGAGTTTTGATTGGAAAATCAGTTATATGGGTGAGAAAAGCAATGCTCTGTTTCAGTACTTGAAGAGACCCTGCATTGTTCTTGTCGTCTAAAACATGGTACGAATTTGGAATTTTGAGAAAATGACTGAAGTATTAACCGATTTAAGGAAATAAATACTTATTTTAATTTTGATTGGCATATTCCAAAATATAAAAAATATGGTTAGTATTTATGTACATATCTATCTATCAAATTGCCATTGATACCAAGAAAGACAGAGAGACAGAGCCACAAGAATCTGTCCAAAACTTGCAAAGAAGAGAGAGGTAGAGAAGGTTTACGAAAAAAGACGGGAAGATGTTATTTATTTGGAAGGGTCAGATGTTATTTATTTTACTTTATTTATTTAAAGGTCCAAGGAGGAGTTGACTACGCTATATATGCATGCCTTTGGAATCTTGACACGTGTTCTGTTTTTCTGTTTAATAGCGCGAAGTAGGGATTGAGTAGAGTAAATTTTATCTCATTAGAAATGATAATCTAAACTACAAAAGAGGAAATGGGTTTTTCACGTTCATTATCATGGTGTTATAGGGACTCGAATCTAAGGTCATTTGTCTGCTAGTCAATGCCTTTTTTTGGAGGATTGAATCTCGTTCACCTCGTTAGACAATTTCATGTGTTATTAGATTATCAATTTGAATGAAGTTATTTATTTACATAGAGGTATGAGATCCAAATATCAGTTAACAGTTGTTCCAATTAGCTTTAAAATTTAAAAATTGATATGAAAACATTAAAATTAAAAGTTTATAAAGCTTGCACGTTTACAACAACAAAGAAGAAATGTGTAGCAAGGGCGAAACTAGTGTACTATTTATCCAGAATCTTTGATTTTAAGCATGTTTGTATAACTAAGCAGTGACGGACCGAGAAGTTTGCCTATATGAAGGCGTAGTGGATTGTGAGCTTAATTACTAAAATCATTTTTTACTATTCTATACAAGACAAAATGGGGACTGAGACTGTTAAACAATTATTATGTTCGGCCGAATTGGTTATATATAAATTTGACAATTTTTTGAGAGAATTATGGAATTACATTTATAATTCAGCAAAAAAAGTCACTAGCCACGAAAGGTCATTACAATAACGAAACGATCTAACATCAAAATTATGACTTTACAAAATTACAATATAAATTTGACAATTAAAACTTATCAAAATTAAGGAAGTGTGAGCATATGTGGTTAGCATAGGTCCGCCAATGCAACTAAAAATCAGTTGGTTATTGGATTAGTGGTATTCTTCTTTGATCATATGATGCCTTAAATTCAAAGCATTCTTTCTCTTCCATAAATAAATAAACTCTCGATGACTAAAAATAGTTACTTAAAGACTTCACGGATGTCTCACCATAGTCTAAGGAAAGAGAATTTATGGTTCAAATATAGTGTCTAAATACATTCTAAGCTCATAATTATATCCAAGAATAACACCAAATTTGCCATCTTCTTCATTCACAGTTGCATGAGTCTATCTTCTTCTCCCCAAAGCCAAGACCCACACGCGACACGCGGAGCATTATGCACGGCACCGAAATGTTTAAGAGAACGACCAACGAAAGTTCAACAGCTTCAACTTGGACGAAATCAAACGAAGAAGACGACCTTCCACTTTGTGAGTAAAAAAAGGAAGAAAAACAAGGCTTGGAATTGAACGGCCGTCTCCTGTGTGTCGTATTTATATGTGCCAAACACCTACCAAACTTGACTTTTGGGGTCGTATATATGTATATTATATGCCTTTCTTTCTTTCTGCTTCCTTGCTGGAATTAACCGTACGGCAGCTCCAGTCGTGGATCTCTTCAAAATGTGGTCGTAGGGTTTTGTGTGTCAAGTTCAACAAAGGAAAACTAGATTGACTCTCACGGTGTCTCACTCTTGATAAGATTATGTTTGAGTGTTTCTAGGGCACAAGTACTTCACAAGCCTCTATCAAATTACATTAACAATATATCGTTATATAATTCAGCTCACCAAACAAATCTTAAATTAATGAAGAGTTGAATTAATGCTAGCTAGTAATTTTTAAATAAATCATGTGAGCTAATACGTCGAAAAGAAAAGAAAAAGAAAGAGTTACATGGAAAATTCAGTAGTATGTGGATAACAAATGTTTTAAGGGTAAATTTTATATATTTAAGACATACCACATTACATATCAAGCAAATTCAAGTGTTTTTGAACTTGTAATTAAATATCTGAATTTAGAACGTCTGAATTTACAGCTCATCTGATCATTTAATGATTGAGTCATTCGTGTCCTGTTAGTTTTATTCTCAAGTTTTTATTTCTCTCTCACATATGTACACTAGACACTAACAAAAATTCTCATAATTACGTACCAAATAATCTATATTTTCATTCTTTGAACTACATATTCAACTAAGAATTCACATAATCAATCGTATTCAGATAAACAATATGACAAGAATATAACATTTTCCTTCCACATTACATATCATTTGTATATATTTGACGAAAAAAAACCCCCATCCATATCATGTCTCCATTTCCCAGGAAAGAAAACTTATCATATCCATGCAGGCCATACAACTTGATGTGATGTGAAAATAGATTATTATAAAAGCTGAAAAAAAAAAAAAAAAAAAAAAGGTATTGGGTATTTAAATATGAAATTTAAAGAGCTCAGTCGTCTTCAAGTTTTTGAAGTTACCACAGCATATACCGATCTATTTTATTTAAAACCTGGCCTGCCTACAACTTGACCACGTCTTGTTGTCCCTGGGAACTATTATACATGCTGCCGGTGGGACATATTCATAAATTCAAACAACTCAATGGGCTAATTTAAAAAACAGAAAATATTTGTTTAATTATGGATGATCAGAATTACCTAATCATAAAAATTAGGTTATCAATTCAAGTTCAAGACTAATCCGACAAGCCAGCCAGATCTCGACCCGTAGCACAAGCTGGCATGTAGTTAAGGCCTTGCGCCTTGCCACCCAACATGGAAATTAAGCATGCTTTTATTTTTAATTAATTGTTACTTTAATTTCATGTTGTATTTCTATAGATTTTATAGATGAACACTGAAAGTACAGTGCGTACGAATTTGCAAAAACAGTTTGTCCTATAATGAAGCAAGCTATGTCATCTTTAAAGTTAATTATTTTGAGATAATTAATTCATGATTGGTTTGGTTTTTTGGGATGGATGAGAGTAAGATATTGTTTCATATATGTTTGGGAAGGGTGCTCGATAATAATGTATATAGCATTGAACATGCCAAATTTGCTAGTAAGAGGGGAAAATCACATGCAGCTATATGGAAGTGTTGTGAAAGTACCAAAAAATGGTATTAGTTAACCCCGCGTTGAGGCATTTTATAAGTGGTTTCACTACTAATAACCTCAAATACGATAGCGAGCATGGCATCTCAGTTGACTCCTGCTGGAAAGTCCATTGTAGTGGTATAGGGCGAATCAACCAATAGCCATAATCATTCATGATATGATGATGAGCCATGGATGCACTTAATTAGACAACAAGCGGGACTAATTAATTGTATACATATATCTAATACAAAGTGTAGATACATTGGCCAACTAATAATATAATCCAATGGCCCTACATGCTTTCACATCACCTAATAAGAATTGTTCACGCCTTAGGCGCAAAAGAGACTACACGTGAGGAGATATGTTAAGAGTATTCCACATCGGATTATGAAAGGTTAGTTTAAGTGTTTTAAAAGATATTAGACTTCTGCACTCATGATCAAGTGAGAACCAATTGATTTTGAATTGAGCGGTCACATTCTAATTAGAAAATGTACCGAATTCGAATCTCAAATTAAAAGACCTGTGTAGTGTAGCGCAAAAATGAAGAACAGCCCTTGTGCTGGTATTAATCAGTCATAACTGGTAACTACTCATTGGTTGTGGATCACGTCCTTGGTGTTGGAATTATTAATACAGATTGGCTAGCAACACAGACTGGAACTCAACAGCAACAATAATAGGAGGCACCAAAAGGATTGAGAGGATGATCTCCACTGCACGTTTGCATGACCCACTGGAAATTAGTACATATATAATTCAAACACGCACGGTTTAACATTTGTCTTCTGCTGGCACAAAAGCATTTCAACCCAATAATATATTTAAACGTTTTAAATGGTGGCATACGATTTGTACCAAATTATTGGATTATGAGAGAAGCCATGTTCATGCATGATTAAATCTCTCACACAAGTTATATATTACAAGCACGAGGGCATAAGAGAATATGACCACATCCATTTACCTCACAATCGAACAATGCCTTCCAAAGTTGCTTCTTCCTCCTCTAGCTAGCACCCCCTTGCCAATTCTCAACCAATATCTTGGCATCAGATTGAAGGAGTACACCAGTTTCTCTTAGCTAGGTGTTGATGATATGAGAATGAAACTTACAACAAAAGTAAAAGGATATGAGAAATTTGGAATCTATCAAAGGCCAACCGTCTTCACTACTAGATTTACTAGATTGAGTTTGATTGGTTTGACGACTGAGGGATGAACTGTAAACTCAAACAGTAGTCGGTCAATTTTCCGTTGAGCCTAAGGAACCTTGAATTAACCAATGCACGAATTGTGGGTCACATTGGCGTGCCTAGAGTTTTCCCTTGAGTTCAAGGTTACTTCAAGGCATAAGGTGCAGAGTAACTTCAAGGTTACTAGATTGAGTTATTTCCTCTCTTATACCAACTTCAAGGTTACTCGAGGGTGCGGAGTAAGAAGAGAGGAGTTATCATTGATATGAACACACAAAAACTTCACCAGTAGATAATAACATTTCAGTACACAACAGTAATATGGGAGAAAGACAAAGGATGGCCAAAGAAGAGGATCCTATACGATGTCATTGTGCAGTTATAAAAGGAGGGGCCTAATCAAATCAGGAAGTGCTGCAATATGCGGTGATGTACCATGGACTGCCAATCAAAGTTAGAAAAACAACTAAATTTAAGACTAGATGAAGTAATATAAAAGAAAAATCTGGCCCCACACTAACAAAAAGCTCTCAGATAACTCAGGGTTAAATCTTTCTCCTATATAGTCAAAATTTGATTCATATGAGATAAAGTAATGATAATAACTAATCAACATTACTATCCTCTTCTTCCAAAGCAGAATCAAGTCCTTTCAAGCATGACTTCATGATCTGTGAAAACTTTGAGCAGGCATCCGTACAAATCTTCACTCCCTGCTGGCAAAAACTATGTTAGTGTCATAAGCCCCATCTATCTTTGTCAAACCATATAAGAAACATGCCACCAATAGATAGTGAAAGGACCTTCCTATGGAGTTTAACAAAGAGTTGTATGAAAAAAATCCTTGGTCTACAAAACCAATTTTGACGAGTATATCCACCTAGTTGACTTCAAATTAAAAGGTTTTATCAACTAGAAGGATCATCTTTGCATCAAACCCGCATAAATGTGAATGCAAGAACAACCAACCAAACTAGAACTCAAAGATGACCTTGGATGCACACTTAATGCTACTTGTTTAGATAATCCCTTGCAAAAATAATGGTTAGGAAGTAGATAAAATTCTTTTAAAAAACAACAAATGATAGAACAAAGTATAAATCATGAGCGCATACCTCATTAATTTTTGGGGTAGACCATTCCCCAGTAATGGTTAGTTGAGTGACCTCGTCGCGAGAAGGCATACAAGTAAGTATTAAGCTTCCATCTTGGTGGCTTTCCTCCTCCAAAGTAGGATCAAGGACAAGGTTCTTTCCCAAACAAGACTAGGCACCACAAACAGAAAAACCATAAGTGAACAAAATAATAAAAAATGAAAAGAAACAACTTGATACGTTACCACAACAGACCAATTGGATATTTAAGGAAAAGTGCTGTATGAATTAATCCTAAGATTTCTTCTCCAAAACAAAAGCTTACAGTATATGGGGGAATAAAAATAAAGGGGAGACAACTTGGCAGTAATCTTGTTATTTAGTCAACTAGGCAAAAGAAAGTATGATGATCAACAATCATATGTGTTATCTATGGTGTAATGTCCTCAAGTTTTCAAAGTCTCAATTCTCTGCATATTTTGTACTGGGCTATTCACGCGCAGGCATCATGTTTGCATGACACAATGACACACGAATTTGAAAAAGGGGTATAAAGGAAACCTTGAAATAAGGTAAGAATATAATAACCAAAATCTTTGTTTTATGCTTGACTACCAAGAGAGAGTTAAAAAGGGCACGTATAATCCAGATGTATACCACTGAAACTGAAGTAACAAGGTCATACATCATTATCCCTGCATCTGCTAGGGCAAGGCTAGCACATGATATCACTACAGGAAGATCACCTGCAACCAAAATGGAAGGGCTTATCAACATGCACAAAAGCAATATTACTGCCTCACATTCAGTTCAATATATTAGGATTTATAATGCACAAATAAAGAAAAAAAATTAAAGGCACAAATGCACCAATAATACAACATTGAAATCATCCTCATATCTCCCTTCTATTCCAAAAATAACTTCTCCATTTACTATAATTGGTTAGATCAAGTAGAGTTCTCTTTTTATATAATTACATCA